TCATGGATACAGAGAAGCTGTATACAAAAATCTACTAAAATTCCAATTGCAAGAGGTAAGGTTGAGGTGCAGAGGAAGGAAGGAAAAAAGCACTTATCAGAATACCTGTCCTTCAGGCCTCCTCACTTCAACCTGTAGATAGCAGCAACAGCAATGTATGGGAAGGCCTTCCTTATAAAAAGTGCCCCCAACCCCAGCAGAGATTTGAACTTGCTGGGACGCTCATGTGCTGGTTGCGACTGCAGCTGTGGCCCTAGATCCCTGTCCCTTAGACTTCAAAATCACCCAAACAAGCAACCTGATGATTTTATTTTATTATTTTCATGTATCCCCTCAAAACAGATTCTATTTGATATAAACCTACACACTATTTTCTCAGAACCCAGTCCAACCCTTTCTTAACCATAACACCAGGCAAGCAAATATATCCCTCAATAAGGAACAGCAAATAGGATAACTACAAGGCATAAGAAAATAGCTTACAGGTCATAAGAATAAACTAAAAAATTCCAAGATGGCTCAGTAAAGCTACTTTTCTTGGATAAAGAGTTATTTCAAGAAACAAGTAAAGTTGGAAATTTTCTGATTCATGATTCTTTGACTTAAATTTTTAAAACCACATGTACATAGTTCAGTTAATCATATGCCTCAGTTTATGACACACTAAATAATTCATATTTTCAACATGACTCAAGAACCTACAGTCTACCACCATAAAAAAAAAGGAAACATTTTGCAATAAAAAAGAATTGCACTGAAATAGTCCTATTTATCTTAGAGGTAAAACTGATGTTAAAGCCATTATGCAAACAGTTAAAAGCAATTTGGACTCTGGAAAACTAAACAAGCAAAATAGAAAATTGATGTCAGGAAATTTTCCCTGACTACAGAAAAGGTGAAAGCAATGAAAATAATGTAGAGAGAAAATGAAATGTCTGAGTCAGAAGAGAATAGACCTGCCTTAAAGAAAGAAAACCAAGGAAAGAGATACAGAAACTATTCCTTATTTGGAAAAAGTACTTTAAATAATCAAGATTGTGCACCAGATCCTCCGTAAAACAGAATTCACCTTGTCATGTAATAAACAACTCTACCTTCAAATTGAAAAAAAAATTTAAATATACATAAAGAGAAATTAAGTAAACACTTCAAGAAAATATACATAATATCACAAAGAAATAATAAGAAAAAAATGAAGAATACTTAACAAAAAGCAAATATTCTGTTGGCCTATTTCAACTACTAAAGATTTAAAAATCATGGAAAATGTCTACAGATGCCTGAAGGAAAAATATCATGGTATAAGAATTCCATGCCTCGAATTCATATGTGATAACAAAATAAACATTTTTAAATATGGGACAACTCAGAATATGTGCTGCCTAGAAAAATGTCCTGAATAAATAACTCAAAATGTTGAAACATATCAAAATGCATTCATAATAATTGTTTTAAACATGATATCACTAGAGTTTTATAACCCCAAAGTCTAAAACAAATAAAACTAGGAGCTCTTTTCAACAACTAGAAAAAAATAATTTTTTAAGAATTTACTAATTCAAAGCCAGAAATTCATTGTTTTAGTCAGCTTTTTCAGTGCTGTGACTAAAAGATCTGACCAGAACAATTTTAGGGAAGAAAAGTTTATTTGGAGGCTCAGAGTTTTAGAAGTCTCAGTCCATACACCACCAGCTCCATCATGGCAGAAGAACATGGCAGAGGGCAGCAGCTCACACGATATGATCAGGAAGAAGAGAGAGACTCCACTCTCCAGATACAAACACACCCCATAGCCACACCCACAATGAACCACTTCCTCCAACCATACCCCACCTGCCTCCGGTTGCCACTCAAATTAATCCTATCAGGGATTAACTCACTGATTAGATTAAAGATATAACTCAATCGTTTCTCCTCCAAACCTTTTTGTGTTGTCTCACAAGTGAGCTTTTGGGGGATACCTCACATCCAAACCACAACAATCATGTAAACAAATAAGCAAACCAGGATATCATCTTTCAATAGATACATTTCAACAAATGCACTTTTTATTGAAATAAACCATACATAAACCTTAATACACATGCACCCTGAGTGTGCTAGTGATCGAATTTCCACAAAGATAACACACTCATTGCCACCACTCAAATCAAGAAACAGTGAAACATATAACTACCCAGAAGCCGTACTCCTCACTCTCAATCACTACCTCTCCCCAAATTCAAAACCATGACCCCAACTTCTAACCCCATAGGTCAGCCTCGCCTGTGCTGGATGTTCCTTTAAATGGCATGGGATAGCCTGGCTTCTCTCATTGAGCATTCTGTTTTAGAGTAATCATTTCTTCATTTTCATTATTGAAAAAACTCATCATAGAATCATGCATTTATCTATTGATGATGGATATCCTACTAGAACAGACCTTGTGTTTGTCTCCAGTTTGGAGACAAACCATCTATGATGGTTCTAAGTGATAAAAACATCAGTAAATTTCAATTAAAATTAGGGGGTTTTAATTTTTTTTTAGTTTAGTTTGATGAAGCTTTATTTTGTTCATTTATTTATACGTGGTGCTGAGAATTGAACCCAGTGCCTCACACATGCTAGTATTATCAAAAGAAATAAACTCTACAAGCACAATGATAAGTACTGGCAGCTGTGTCTTCTGTGCCCAGAGTATTAGAAACTGGTGAAGGGGTCGTATCTGTCCTATCTGAAACAGGGAGCCTATCCTCACGTCTAGTCCTTTCATATATATGGGAATATGGACATATGAACACACTGCTGCAGGACTGTTCAATTTTTTAAAGTAAATTTTACAATTCAACTTTTTAAACAAATCTCCTAATTTCTAATGTCGAACTTTTTTTTTTTAAGCCAGAGAACCTATTACAGCTCCATATTTCATAACCTCAGGTCTGAATAGTCATGATACCAAAACAGCTTATAGCCTTTTGACTTCACATGGGGCACATTCCAAGTGGCTTTCTCCCCAGCCAAGACAACCCCTTCCAGAGACCCAAAGTAAAGGCAAAACCACAGAGGAGAGTTGCTCCCTCTGCAGATTGGAGAGCCCTCCCTGCATCACAATGAGAGATAAAGGGCCACCTTTTCAAGACCCCAGGTATCGTATCCCCTCCCTCCCCTTCCTGATCCCTGCTCTTTGACAAACCAGGTGGAAAGTCAACCTTTTTTTTTTCTTCCTTGATCATCCTTTGTGACCTTTCTGTAGACTCTTAATTTTCTTGTTCAAGTTACAACTACAAATTGGAAATTTCTGTATTGGGATCAACTATTCCATTATCATGATGCCCCCTAGGAGTGGCAGTTTTAAAACACCCAGGTGTGTGTGTGAGGGGACTAGTTGATGAAGGATGACCTGCCTTCCACAAGCCAAAAGGTCAAAGACTTCATTCATTTTTCTTCCTTCCTGAAGTGAAGCAATCCATTCCTAGATAGCCCTGGCAGGAGCTCTGACTGCGTCCTGTCCGCTGCACGGTGGCAAAAATAGATATGACTTGATATTCCAAGGTGGGTTGGGTGCTGGCGCTAGTGAGGGGAGGAGGATTGCCAAGGGAGGAGGCCAAGCCATTTTTAAAGCACTAAGTAAATGCTGTTTTAAAAAGACCAATATGAGAGAATTAAAGACTAACACAAAGGTTATCGTGAGGCCAAGATCTATGAGTTAGACTTTTTTATTCCTCAGACAGTGGTTCTCAAATTTTAACATGGTTCTCAAATCACCTAGAGGACTGGTGAAAACACAGAATTCTGGCCCCACTGTGAAGTTTTTGATAGCAAGGGGGTGGAATTTTCCTTTCTTTCTTTTAAAGATGGTCAATCCAGTATTTGTTTGTTTATCATCTTTTATCTATGCATTAGAATCATACACAACAGTTGGATCCATTGACAAACAACCCTTGCCTTTCTGAGTCTGGTTTATTTTGCTTAACAGAATGCTCTCAAGTTCCATCCATCTTTCTGTAAGTTAGATAATATTTGTTCTTCTTGGCAGCTGAATAAAACCCCATTGGATATATACCATGTTTTCTTTGTCCATTCATCTGTTGATAGACACCTAGGCTGGTTCCTTAATTGGGCTCTTGTGAATTGCACTGCTGTGACATGGGTATGTATATAAATCTACAGTTTGCTAACTTTAATTCTCTAGGATGAACACCAAGGAGTGGTCAGATGATGGGTCTATTGCGATTTTTCCTTTCTAGCAAATTCCCAAGTGATGTTACCCTGCTGGTCCAGGGCTTCTACCTTGAACCACTGACTAGAGAAACCTTCACAATAAATATCTATGATGGTTCTAAGTGGAAAAAAAAAAATCCGTAAAGTGGCAATTAAAATTAGGCTTTTTAATTTTTTTTTTTTAGTTTAGTTTGATGAACCTTTATTTTGTTCATTTATTTATATGTGGTGCTGAGAATCGAACCCAGTGCCTCACATATGCTAGGCAAGTACTCTACCACTGAGCCATAACCCCAGCCCGATTTTGTTTTTTCTAAACACTTTATAGAAAACTTTTGATGCTATCTGGCTTTAAAAAAGTCTACCTAGGCACTAAATAAATGTTCTTTGGGGCTACTGAGCTAATGAGAATATTGGTAGATACAAATACTTTTCGATTTACATTTTAATTATTTGAAAATTAATGTTCATAAATCTTCTCTATTGTTCAATGCTGATCAAAGCATCCCATTAGTAAAGGAGATTGGCAGAAAATATTCTAAGATGTGAAGAAAATAAGGTCCTAAGTTAGAATGATTCTCACTGTTTTAGAGGAAATAGAATATAAAGCTAGCACTGTCTCCCTGAACTGTCATGAATGATTATTGGACACCTTAAGGGGAAATAAGAGGCCAATTTGCATCCTTTCTGTATTGGAGCAGCCGTTGTTCAGTAAAAACAAATCACCTGACTCTGTCTTAGGCGGTCTTAGGTTCTGAACTCGCTTGCCTTTCAGCTTTTTCATAAACAAATAACTAGAAAGGTCTCTAAGGAGGGGAGAGGCCAGTTCCTCATTTGAGCTGTATCAAGGTCACTTGCACTCAGAAGGGAGGGTGCTTTGTTACAGGCGTGCGGAACCTCTTGCTCCGAGAGCCCTGGTCTGGCAGCTCTCTTTGGGATTCTGCAAACTCTGGATGGTCAGGATCCACACGGACAATGTCACATTCAGAGGCAAACCTTCCCACAGGTAATAAAGACATTCAGCTGTTTTCTGGGTTTCCCTTTTGCATTTTCTGTTTGTACAAAACCAGTTGCCACCAGCTTTTCCGGGTCCTGTCTAGCTGGTCTTTCCAGATCTAATTAGAATCTGTGAATCATTAATCCCTGTGGTTTAATTTCTAGTACCGTGAGAGCCTTCTCCAACGCTGTAAATGGCTGTTTGCTAGATTCCTAAGCTTGGGAAGTCAAAGGCTGATGACCTCTTTAAAATGATCACAGTCTGGCCTTTTAGATAACACAAAGCAGAGTTGGCATGAACTAGTTCACGGTTAACTTTCAACTCTTATCAGATCCACAAGGGGTAGTCTTTTGGGGAGGGCCTCCCAGGAGCCTTAGCCACTATCTCATTTAATTCCTGAAACCAGCCCCTGAAGGAGATTCTATGAAGGCCTTCTCCTAAATGCTGCACACGGGCAGACAGAGAAGTGGCTCATCGTGGGTCACATGGCTTAGTTGGTAGTGAAGCTAGATCCACCTGAGCTTGAACCCTTCCTATCTCTCTACCAGCCACTTCCCAAAGTCCTGCTGCTTTTCTCCAGTGCTAGGTGAGTCATGTTGCCAGTCACCATGCCGTGGCCCAAGTGCCATTAGTAATGCTACTGGCCAATAAACAATACTTAATAACTCTTAAATCCTACTGGACATAGATAACCTCCTACCAGTGATCACACACCTATGTCTGGACTGCTGAAAAGGTTACCTAAGCTGTATCCTAACCCTTCCAAGGAGGAGAAAGCAGGCCAAAAGGACAGAAAGGAAACCTAAGGAAACCGATACAACCAGTATGGCAGGGCCCATGTAAACGTACTGAATTTCTTTAACATTATTGTCGCCTTGAACTTGGATAATCCTCTAAAGAAAAATAGTAAAATCCTTGGGTGTGTGTATGTGTGAAAGTACCTATAACTCCAGACCTCAGCTCAGACATTTTTTTTTGGCATGAAAATAAGGAACTGGGTCCTCCATGAAACAGCCAGGGCCTCAGGACCTGAACAAACCTAACACACCTAACAGAGCTGAGCTCACCAATGGTCAGAGCAGGACTTCTCCTTCTCCAACAAAGCTGGTATTAATCTCTAGAGCAGCGACCAGAAATCACGAACCTTCAAATCCAGGGCAGCCCAGCCTTCACCGCATATAGGTTGTAGCTGGCATTACCCTCCTTGCTCCACCCCCAATAAAGGGTACCCCATGCATTCCAGTGTGACACGGGATGTTTTATAACATTTGAATCCTCAGCTCAAAACAGTAAAGCAAACCCAGCCTCGAGGACTTCAAATTTCTTTTGTAAAAAAGAACTGAATTCACTTTCATTGCCGTCTAAGTAGCTCCTTAAACAACTCTCCAGTCTAAAATCCAGTACCTATTATTATTTTATCTGACCCGAAACCCAATGAGAGTCAGGGAGTCAATATAAGAGTCGTGAAGTCCTTGACATCAGTATTACAACATCGTCACGACTACATGGTAACAGCGGGTTCCTCCTCTTTACTGGTAAGGATGAATTTAAAAGCCTATTAATTCTTTCTACACCACAGAACTTCAACAAACACAGTAACAATCACCATGTTTCAGCACAGTACTTGAGTGATAGTCAACGCAATGAGGTCAGGTCACAAGAAAAATTTATTGGCTTTTAGCCCTCGCTGTTATCAAGTTGAAACAAATTAATACGCTATAGAAAAATGCTCTCCTAAAAAGTATTGTCAATGCAGTTGAAATAATATAGCACTAAAAAACATAGATGACTGGTATCCTTAAATTTTGGTGACTCAAATATATTCATTCCCAAAGGGTTCCAGGTTGCTGCTTCACTGGAGAATTATAGGCTTGCTCAAACTGTTGTGGAGGTCTCGGAATAAGCAATCAACTGCTGATGTTTCATCCACAAACCATCCACACACATCTAAAGCCACCTTGCCCATTGCTCATGGCAAGGGAAGACGGTCATATTATTTATTCTACGGTTTCACCCCTCATCTGTTGACAGTCATGAAATAATTGATGGATGGGTGAGGAATAATGTTTTCCCACACAGAAATACTTTGTTCATGTGGGAAACTACAAAATAAAAGAACTGCCATAGATCATTTCCATTTTGCCATGAATCAAATTGTCAAACAGAAGAATCAGTCTTTCCTTGAGCCTGAGAAGTGTTTAATAGGGAGGTAACTGTGCCTGTGTACATTCTAGAAGATAAGCTAATCATGAGAAGCAGGATATCTGGTGACACCTGAGTTTTTCTTTTCAAACTCAAGTCATTTTTTAAAAAAAAAAATATGGGTATTGATAAAATCTGGAATGTCTTTTGTCAAATCTTTACATTTATTTTATTTTGAAGGCGTGTCTCATTATGTGATTTAAAACTTAGAGGATAGATCTTATTCTCTTTGTTCTAGAATGCACCAAAGTACATAAATATACACATATATGCATACAAGCTAGATGTAAGGAGAATTTAAAGTATATCTGATTCTCTTTTTATTATTGGTTGCTCAAAATATTACAATGATCTAGACATATCATATTTCATAATTTGATTCTCTTAAAATGAAATAATTAAAAAATAGCTAGCTATGTGACTTCCAAGGAACCCCTTAAGTCACTAAAGTTTTTTAAGTTTGTTTGTTTGTTTGGAATGAGAAGAAATGTTAAGCAGACAGTAAATGGATTTCAGTAGACTATTTAGATATGGCAGCTCGAATCACATTATCCTCATTATCCTCATTATGTTCATTATCCTCAGTAAAGGATGCTAATGTGAACTAGGCTCTACTTATCTCTTCTGAATAGCTAGAAGTTTTCCTTGAAGTTTCAGAAACCTTTGTCCTCACCTCAGTCTCCTCATTTACTTCAGATTCCACCATCTGCTCCTCCCCACGGGAGATGCAGCCACCAGCCTGTGACTGTCCTCTGGGAAAGGACCAAGAAGTGCCAGAGGAAGGGTGGCTCTTGGATTTGGAAACTCAGCAACCCCACTGTGCTCCAGAGAACAGCAACCCAGACGGTGTGTCCTGGAAGCTTCCATCAGTCGGTCCTCTTAGTTTTGTGGGGAGAACAGAGTCTTCTTGTCCTGAGATGCAGCCCCAGGGCTGTGGGACCTCTCCTCAGGGGCCCTGGAACCCGTCAAAGAAGCTCTGTGAGAACCAGGGGAACCTTCTCCAGTTTGACCGGCAAGCCCCCGGCCGCATCTCCACCTCTCCCACCTTGAGGAGATTAAGGGGCAGTAGCCGGGGGTCTTCCATCTCGCCACCTCACCAAGATGTCTTGGATGTGTCCACCCAGAGAAGCTGGAGAAATCCTACAAGCTCCCCAGGTCACCTTTCCAAGAGTCTACCTGGAAGCCCAAGAGATTCTTCACCTTCCCTATCACCCCTGAGACCCCGCTCAGGACTGCTTTCAGATCCCGAAAGTACCCTCAGCACAGCTGACTCCTTCAAGTCCCAAACCAGGACCCCTGATGAACATGTCATTCTTGCATTTCGGCCCATCAATGAGGGGTCTCCTCACTGGGCCTCTCTTCCAGGGCAAGAAGGCCACTCAACACCCAACCCCACTGCAGGGTCCCCAAGACCTCAGGTAACTCAGCTCTAAGCCTCCTGCCTAGCAAAATAGGTCTCAGGGTTGCCCACTCCCCCAAGGACCAAGGGGCCCCAGGATGGGAGACAGCACAGGAAGACATGGCTGAGGGAACAGACACACCCTTTAGAAGCATTGGCTCTCAAGTAAAAGAGGTGTCACATTTGGAGGAAGGAAAATGAATGTCTAGCCTAATTCACCTTCTCCTGTGCCCTTGAAGGCACTCTGAGGTGAGGCTAACTGTGGTCTGTCAGGCACTGATTGGGTAGCGGTGGTGGTCCTTTTGCAAAACACCATTTGAAGACAGAGCAAGGCTGATTTAAAAGAGGAGAAAGAGCTAATTATTCAAATTCCTCATTCCCTGTCCCCTCATCCCCCCACCCTCCAAATCCAGAACATTTTAACTGAGAGAGTTTATAGGTTTTTTTCTTCAAGAAGTCCGCTTTCAGCCAGGCACAGTGGCGCATACCTATAATCCCAGCAGCTCAGGAGGCTGAGGCAGGAGGATCTCAAATTCAAAGCCAGCCTCAGCAAAAGTGAGGCACTAAGCAAGTCAGTGAGACCTGTCTCTAAATAAAATACAAAATAGGGCTGGGGATGTGGCTTAGTGGTCGAGTTCCCCCAAGTTTAATCCCTGGTTCCACGCCCCCTCACCCCAGAAAAAAAGTCTGTTTTGAAATATTGGATGGGTTCAAGCAAGACTAAAACAAAGACTTTTAAATTTTATTTCAGGGAGAAGAACTGCAGCAATCCAGGTGTGTATACATTGGTTGTCTCCCATGCCATGACACCTCTGCACCATTTTCTTTTACAACTTTATTTCTGTTCTGACCTGATGATGATGTAGTAATCAACACCCAAGTCACTCTTCACCCATCATGCAGGAGTACAAGGTGCAAGAGTCTTGAGTTCAGGAGTCTCCTTTGAGGGCACAGCATTTTGCCATCTCTTTGAGTGCAGGGTATGATAGACATCACAGGCACTCATAATTTTCATTTTGAGTTGTCAATGTCTTGGCCCTGTGACTTCATTAGCATCCATTTAAGTAATAGTTTTCGTCTGGGTAGAGAAAATGGAAAAGGCAGAAATATTCAATAGTTTCTTCAGAGAGAAATTCAAAGGACAAGGATTAAAGGAACAAGATGTCCTGCTTGATTCTAGCCTGACCTTTAAAATGCCTATTATGACAGACTCTGCCCTTATCTAAAATGCAAGTGGATTGTGTCATTTCAGAAACCAGCTCTGAACATTCAGTGCGACCTCCAGGTTGTAGCAGCAGAGTTGCTATCCCTCTCAGGGATGAAAAATTTCTATAGAAGGAATGGAAAGATCTATGCCCAATTTAATCCATCCAGTTTATGGGATTGGAAAGAAAGCCCTTGTTATGTTTGGAAAGCCACAGATGAGTTGTGGGGGAATTACCCACTGTTTTATTACTAAGACTCAATCCTCAAGCCACAGTTTGCTATTCATAAATCTATACAGTCTTTGACCCTGATTTGCCAAAATAGAAAAGTTTAATATGAAGAGTAAAGATAGAGGATATTTACCAAGCCCCAAGAAAATGCAAATCATTGTGTCTAGAGTATCAGTTAGCTATTGCTACATAACAAACAATCCCCAAACACTTAAATGCTATCATTTCCCATAAATCCAATTGTCCACTGGGCTCACTTTATCTAGGCTGGGCTAAGTTGTATATTTCTATTCCAGATGTCCCTCATCCTTTCCCTAGGACCATATTCCTCTCACAGAAAAGGGAGAGGTTCATGGGAACAAGCAGAAACACTTAAGGGCTCTAGGGCCTGAGCTCTGAACATTGTCTAATTTTATTGGCCAAAGCAAGTCACTTGGCTGGACTCAGAGCCAGGCAATTACATGTCACCATGAGTAGGAGGGCACTGAAGTGCTGTGTGGAAAAGAATGTGGACAGATTGGTGAAGATGGGACCATTGGTAGAAATCTTCTATAGGAGTGAAGCAGAATAATATTCTAAAATCACACCTAATACAGGTGTGTCTGAGAGTACAGAGGAGAATAGTCTCAGAGAAAGGTAACAGTGTCATTTAGAGTCAGGTCAGGTAGGGTCTACTAGATGTTTAGGAATTTTATTTCTTACCCTAATAGCAGTGTGAAGGCATTGAGTGGATTGGTATCATCAGATGGACGTAGGATGGACACGGGTGGACTTAGACGAGAGTGGTCTCAAGCAGAGCAAATACAATGTCCGAGCATGAGAAGCTGGTAGGTTAGGCTGCGATGAGCCCAATGGAGTTAAAAAGTATCTCCATGGACAAGAGATGTAGGAGATATAATCAGCTAGACTTTGTGAGGGGTGAAAGGAAGAAAGTTGACATGAATAACCTGTGAGCTGCTTACACAACTGGGTGTTCAATGTTTCCATTACTGAGCTAGCTCAACTTCGAAAGGATTTTTTTTTCTGATTACTGTTCTCTCTCTTCTTCTATAATATGTGCATGAATTCATACTCACTCCAAACCTTTTCCTATCACCAAAGAATGCCTCCTGAAACAAAAGTCTTTACAATACATTCTTACTAAAGTGTGAAGGTCTTCAGGCTTAATCAATATATGCTCTCACATTTCAAACTAGAACCAGTACATTCCTCCCTTTTTGAATTTCCCTGCACTTTATAAATGCCTGCATCCTGGCATCTAAAACAGTATATTGTGTTTCCTTTGCATTTATCTGCTTCCCAAATCAAACCTTCCTGAGATCAGAAATCACTTCTTAATTAGCTTTAAATCTCTAGTATTCTGTACCCAACTGGAGTCCACTTCCAAAAACACCTACTCAGTAAAGGATTGGTGGTTAAAAGAAAACAAGCATGCTGGCAGGATGCTTAGCTTACAATGTCTTTATCCCCGATGTATTTCATTGTGAAAAATTACATGGCTAGAAACAGAAGCGTGTTGGAATTTTAAGCATCAGGATGTGAGGGAAGGACATTTCCTGGGTAGGGAGGGCCTCCTGGCACTCCTTACATTCTATATGCACAAAAAGCTGCCTGCTTGACCTCATTTTCAGGTCAGCCCTGCAGCTGAGAAGGGAATGTACATATTATATTTCTGTGAGAATAAAGGCTATCCTTCATCACTCAAGGAAATGAGAAGAAAGCTAAATATATCCAAATGAGCATAGGGCAATATTATCATAAAAACCAACGGACAAGTTATTTGAAAGTCTATTTTGAGGAAGAAATCACAGTAAAACTTCCCTGGAAGGCAGATCCCTCTGGGGTTACCACTAGAGGGCAGCATAACATGGAGTTAAAAGCGACTGGAGTCAAAGGCCTGAGTTTGAATCCCATCTCCACTTTTTTCCGACAACAGGATCTTGGGTAATTTCTGCAACTGCTGGAAATAGATGTTTTCATCCATTGAGATTCAAAGAGTAATCATCTCACAAGCCTTTGACCCTGATTTAATACTACAGCTCAGTAGTTTCTACTTTTAGACACCGTTCTTTCATTTGTTCTGCATTTCCTGTATGCAAGGCATTGATGTATTCTTTCTAAAATATTATGATGCCAGAGTTAAACGATTGATCAAGAAAAAATTCATCTGATTTGTCTGAACATTAAGTTCATACAATATTAAACCTTCCACAGACTTTCATTTAAAAAATGTTATGTCCCTAGCATATAACAGTGTCATGATAGAAAACAGAAATACCATAAATGGAGAAGATTCTCAGTAAGATTTTTCCCCCACATTGTTTTATTGGTGCATAATGATGTGATTTGCTGTTACATGTTCATGCATACACACAATATAACACTATGATTTCACCAATATCCCTTCCCAGCAATTCCTCCTTCTCTCCCTACCTCTCTCTCCCCAGTCCCTTTCCCCTACTGATTTCCCTTTGATTTTCATGAGACTCCCCACCACCACTACCTTTCTTTTCCTTTTTCCTCTCTAACTTCCACATATGAAATAAAGCATATGACCTTCAACCTTCTGAGTTGGACTTATTTCGCTTAACATAATGGTCTCTAGTTCTATCCATTTCCCTGCAAATGCCATAATATCATTTTTCTTTATGGCTGAATAAAATTCCATTGTGTATATATAGCACATTTTCTTTATCCATTTATTCACTGATGGACACCTAGACTGGTTCCATAGTTTAACTATTGTGAATTGTGCTGCTCTATAAACCTAGGTATGCATGTGTCACTGTAGTAAAATGACTTTAATTCAGGATAAATACTGAGGAGTGACATAGCTGTGTCATATGGTAGCTCCATGCCTAGTCTCTTGAGGAAACTCCATACTGATTTCCATAATGGTTGTACTAATTTACAATCCCACCAACAGTGTAAAAGTGTTCTTTTTTCTCCACATCCTCTCCAGCATTTATTATTGTTCCTGATGACTGCCATTCTGACTCGTGTGGGATGAAGTCTCTGTGTAGTTTTAATTTGCATTTACCTAATTGCTAAGGATGTTGAACATTTTTTTCATACATTTGTTGGCCATTTGTCTTTCTTCCTTTGAGAAGTGTCTGTTAAATTCATTTGCCCATTTATTAATTGGGTTATTTTATTTTATAGGTGTTAAGTTTTTTTTAATATATTCTAGATATTAACCTCTTCCAGAAAGGAACCTAACAAAGATGCTCATGTGTAGGTTCTCTCTTCAGATTCTTAATTATTTCCTTTGCTGTGCAAAAGCATTTTAACTTAATACTGGCCCATTTATTAACCGTTGGCATTATTTCCTGAGCTTTAGGGGTTCTACTGAGGAAGTTGTTGCCTGCACCTATATGCTGGTGCGTTGACCCTATGTTTTCTTCTAGGGGTTTAATACTTTCTGGTTAATTCCTCGGTATTTGATCCATTTTGAGTTGAATTTTGTGCAGGATAGTAAATAAGGGTCTAGCCTCATTCATCTACATGGGGATAGCCAGTTTTCCAAGCACCATTTGTTACAAAGGCTGCTTTTCTCCAATGTGCTTTTGGTACCTTTGTCCAGGATCATATGACTGTATCTGGGTATTGGTCTCTGTATCTTCTATTCTGTATCATTGGCCTATGTGTCTGTTTTTATGCCATTTGTTACTGTAGCTCTGTAGTACAATTTGAATTCAGGGATTTTGATGCCTCCAGCATTGCTTTTTTTGGCTTAGAATTGCTTTAGCTATTCTGGATTTTTCCTTCTTCCAAATGAACTTTAGGACTGTTTGTTTTGTTTTGTGTTTGTTTTCCTATTCCATGAAGAAGGTCACTAGTATTTTGATGGAGATTGCATTGAATCTGTATATTACTTTTGGTAGAATGGCCATTTTAACAATATTAATTCTGCCTATCCATGAGCATGGGAGGTCTTTCTGTCTTCGAGTGTTTTCTTCAATATCTTTCTTCAGTGTTCTATAGCTTTCCTTGTAGAGGTCTTTCAATTCCTTGGTTAGATTGAGGGTGTTTTGAATGGGATTTTTTTCTTGATTTTTTTCCATCAGGCAGTTGATATATAGGAAAAATACTGATTTTTGTATGTTGCTTTTGTAACCTGTTACTTTACTAAATTTGTTTATTAGCTAAAACAGTCTTTTGGTGGAATTTTTTGGATCTTCTAAACATAGGACCATAACATCAGCAAACAGTGATAATTTTACATCTTTTTTTTCTTATTTTTGTTCCTTTTATTGTCTAATTTCTCTAGCTAGAATTATGTTAAATAGAAGTGGTAAGAGCAAACTCCTTGACTTGTTCCATATGTTAAAGGAAATG